TCCTCTGTACTCATCTGTACTCTACACATCTGTACTCATCTGTACTCATCTGTACTCTACTCATCTATACTCATCTGTACTCTACTCATCTGTACTCTACACATCTATACTCCTCTGTACTCTACTCATCTGTACTCTACACATCTGTACTCATCTGTACTCTACTCATCTGTACTTTTTCCTTTTTTTTTCAAGTCTTTTTTTTTTCTCGATATAATTAGAACATGCCACTGGATGCCTCAAATTTCCCCCCGTGATTAATAAATTGTCTCTCTGTCTATTTGTCTGTCTATCAGTCTATCTATCTAGCTGTCTGTCTCTATCTCTATGTATCTGTCTGTCTGTATATATATATGTGTGTGTGTGTGTATGTATCTGTCTATCTATATGTCTATCTTTAGATGTTCCTCTGTTTATCAATAACTTGCTACCATGTTGAATTTATTTACTTAAAAAAGAGAAAGAGGTTTGTTTATCACTTTGATTAGATATATCTGAAAAGGACTAGCAGTGTGTGAAAGTGGTACTTTAACTAAGAGCAGGCACGTTTGAAGCATTTATTAAGCTGCAGTGTCCTTAAATAACTTCGAGACAAGATGCTTTGCTGGTAGAAAGAGACTTCTCACACAGCTCTATAAATATTCTGCTGGAGATCTTCTCAAAGAGTTTCTTCTAAAAGCAGTTTGTGCACTAAAGAGTGTCAAAACTTTGAACACATTAAAGGTTTAAACAAACTTTGACGAGCCTGTCGCTCCTTTAAATAAAAGCTGTCGTGTCTCACAGGTAACAAGAATAGTTCTGCTGTGGGTCAACAACCACTTCAATGACTTTGAGGACGACCCGGCCATGACCCACTTCTTGGAGGACTTTGAGAAACTTCTTGAAGCTTCAGTAAGATCAAATATGAGTCTTTATTGTTGTACTTTTCTCTGTTTTTTGTTTTATCACGATTTTAATTACAAACTTCCAGCGTCTGTTTTGTCTTTTTTGTTTCTGTGGCTCTGATCTCATTTTATATTTTCGTCTTCATCTCAAGTTTGCAGGACGGGTTTTACAACAAAACCATTTCCAACAAGTAATTCTGTTTTTATTGATAAAATTAAAAAAATCATCGTAGTTTTATCATGTAAAGTTCTATCGTTGTATTGAAACAAGTTTAAACTGTAAGACAGCATAAACAGAGTTGTGATCTGTTCTTTAACTTTTGTCAATAACAATATATTTTTACTTTTTATTGAAACATGTAGGAGACAACATAAACTTCAGAATTCAAATTTACGCCTCATCCAGTTCTAATAGTTATTTTTCTCTCTCCTTGTTAGAAAATGAAGGGCCATTTGAGGCTGCTGAACATTGCATGTGCAGCTAAGGCGAAGTGGAGGCAGATCACTCTGCAGAAGGCGTCCAGGGAGTCTCCGCTCTACTTCAGCTTCAAAGGTGGCAGTGAGAGAGGATTTGGCATCTTTGTTGAGTCGGTGGAAGAAGGAAGCAAAGCATCTGAGGCCGGACTCAAACGAGGAGATCAGGTGAGAGGACGTCATTTCATCATTCAGTAAATTCAAACTTATTCTGTTTGAGTACTAATCATTGAATGATCATTGGAACCGTATACCCAAGTTTTTCTGTATTGCTGTTTTATGAAGTAATTTATGGGGTTTGTATTCAATCCTAGCTGTAAATTAGTCCCTAAATAAGTACTGTAAATAAAAGTAGAGCCGTCTGACCTTTTCATTTAGACTTGTTTAGGGGAGCATATTTATGCAATTCAATCACACACACAAAATTAGATGGCATAGATTTTGTAAAATTATATTGATCAGATTACCAACAGTTTGACAAACGTCACACAATAGTGAAGAAATCGTTGTATCTTCAGGGTGTTGTGTAGATCTTCAGAGGATGATGGACTTATTTATTTTGACAAGTTCAAGTCAGGACCCGTTGATATATATGACCTTACATTTCTGCCCATTTTATTGCCTCTTTGGTATCAAATAAAAAGAGAGAAATTGCATTTACTGCGAAAATGCAGTGTGAATGCTTGTTGCTGAAGAACTTGCTGAAAAACAGCTGAAATTAGCTAAAAATGGGCTGAAATGTAGCTGAATTGGAAGAACAAGCAGAAGCAAAAGCAGAAAGAACACGTATTTGCTGAATTTAGTTGAAATGAGCAGAAATGGGTACAAAAAATTAGCAAATTAGCTAAAAAAAAATATTACATTAGTAAAACATGGCTGAAAAGTAGCTGAAAAGGCAGAAAGAAGCTGAAACCACCAAAATGAAGTGGAAGGAGCTTAAATGAGCTTAAAAAAAAGTGGAGTTAGCGGGAAAAGCCAAATTTAGCACAAAATAGCTAAAAGGTAACTGAAATAGCAGAAAAAGCTGAAACTACCACAAAAAAGCTGAAAGGAGCATAACAAGCTGAAATTAGCAGAGAGAAGTTAATTAGGCTGAAAGTAGCAGAAATGACCACAAAACACTGGAATTTATCTGAAAATAGCAGAACGACTTAAAATGCTAAAACGTTATCTGAAAAGGTAAAGCAAGCTTAAATTAGCAGAAGAAAGCAGAAAGAACATGGTTGCCCAGTTAGGCTGAAAGAAGCAGAAATGAGCATAAAAAGTAGAAATTATTTGACAAAAGCTGAAATTATTTGAAAAAAGCTGAAATTAGCAAATAAAACAGCTGAAAGTAGCTAAAATGGCAGAACGAAGCATAAATTAGCAGAAGGAAGTGGAGAGAGCACATTTTTGCTGAAGTAGGCAGAAAAAATATGAAATGAGTGCAAAATGTATGGAATTAGCTGAGAACGCTAATATTAGCATAAAACAGCTAAATAGTAGCTGAGATGGATGGAAAAATATTAAACACATAAATAAGCTGAAAGGGGCATAGCAAGCTGAAATTAGGAGAAATAATCTGAAAGGAGCATAAAACAGCTGAAATAAACAGCTGAAAAAAATGAAAAATTTGCACAAGGAAGCTGAAAGAACAAAAAAAAATCTCAATTTCTATGAATTCATCCTTTATGATTGTCTGTTCTTGTCTTTGTTGTCCACTGTTGTCATCACTCTTTGTTAAAATCAAGTCTCTCTTGTAAATGAGTCCCCGAGGCTCAGTGGGATTAACCTGTATAAATAAAGACTGAATGACTGATTTAAAGAAGCTGAACCAGAACAAAATTTGAAAGGAGCAGTTTTTCATTCAACCTTTATTTAGACAGGTAAATCCCATTGAGCCTGAGTAAGAGGCTTTAAACGGATCTAAAGATCTGAAGGATGTAAAATAAGATCAATTAATTTTATATGAGAAAAAAGTGGCAGAAAAGGCTAAATGTTTCAAAAAGCTAAAGTTACACCAATAGATATAATAATAATAATAATAATAAATAGTAGTAATAGACATAGAAGGATTGTCCTGGAAGAGCTGAACGCTTTGATATATGATTTGGAAATGGCACAAAAACTGTGGATTAAGAAATATGCCAAAAAACGTACAGAAGAAAAATGGATCACAATAGTGTGAATGCTACATAAATATTAGAAAAAACAGTTTATGCTGAAAAATTTCCAACAGGAGTGTACTTCTCTTACCTCTTTGGGGTATTTTTTGGCTGCGCAGTCATGTGATCCGAGTAGTTGCAAGCTCAGCAGTCCTATTTGCTGCAGCTCATGTGACAGTGTGGCTAAACTAAAGTTATAGAGCACAAATTGTTGTTTTTTCCATATATGTGCAGCTTATAGTGGACCAACACACCCATAAAGGATGAAGTGAAAGTACATAGATTGTGATTACAGTTGCACAAAGCAAAGTGGAGTTCTACAGAGGCTCCATTTGCTCATTCAGCTCGTCTTATTGTCGTTAAAAAGCCCTTTACCTAATAACCAACCAAATGTTTTGTGCTAGACTATGGAGGCCATTGAAACAAAATTGTGCAAAGACTATAAAGAACATTTGATAAAAGCTTGACTAGAGCGACACAATGTCATAGTTATGATGTGTAATGTGTCCGTCGTCGTGTGACTGTTTCAACTCGTTGTGTCAAGGTTCTTTCTTGGTCATAACAGAGGAGCCAGCAGGATACAGTTCCTAACATTTGACTAATCTGTTGGCGAACTGCAGAAAAATTGCTGAGAACCCAACAAGAGCAAAGCTCTCAGATGAGGTCAGAGTGAGTCCTGTTGTTGTGTGAGGCGACAAAAGTAGAATTTCTCTAAAAATAAAAGACCCAAAACTGTTTCTGTTGTATGTCTGTTTATCTTGGTTATAGCAAGACCGGACTTTTAGACAAACTGTGCAAAGCTTACATCCATCCGTCTTTCGTTTTTCTACTAAACCGTGTGCACTTCCTGATTCTTTAGCTGGTTTCAGTGTTGTGTTGCTCTGTGGAAGAATTCAATCGATCCAAGTCCTTCATGTTTGTAGCTCAGTCTCTTTAATGTCCTTATTTCCTCACCGTGAGGCATTTGCTGACATCAGCTTTTATCTTTCTCCTGCCTTTTTTAAAATAAAGTTTTTAAATACTAAAATTGATTAATCTCCTCTAAAGTTTACACACGTTACCAAGCAGAAACTTCCTCTTTCTGTTATTTGTGGAGCATTTTAACCGCACAGTGAACTTTGTGTTGGCCTGTTTTGTTGATGCATGCTGAGTCAAGATGGTTAATAATAACTAACAAGCAAACCAGATGTTTCATCTAAAAGAAAGACTCAGTGAATCTTACAAATGCCAGACAAGTGAGAGTCTGTTGCACTTTTGAGTTTAACTTGCTGCAACAGAAGTAGATTTATTTTGTCTGTATTGTTTCAGATCATGGAGGTCAACGGGCAGAACTTTGAGAACATCTCCTTCTCCAAAGCTGTGGACATCTTAAGAAATAACACACACCTCTCCATCACTGTGAAAACCAACATATTTGGTGAGAAAAGTCGCATGTTATTTCCAAATGCTATTTGTACAAGGTGTCACAAATAAAAATAATTTACCCACAATACCTGAAGTGTAATAAGAACTAGATTCTGGGAGACTAACCAGCCTCTCTTCCTCCGTCCATCTAGTCTTCAAAGAGCTCCTTAGTCGGATCATGCATGAAAAGAAGAACGGCGGTCCTCACATCCCTAAGATTCAGGAGAAAAAAGGCAACCGTTTCTCCATCCCCGACCTCCCTGGAGACATGGAGTTTCCTACGGACCATAAAAGCACCCGCAAAATGAAAGCCAACACTGTGTCAGGAGGACGCAACAAGATCAGGAAGATGCTGGAGAAGACGCGCTTCAGCATACTCCCACCTAAACCATTCAGGTATGTGTGTGAACGTTGTTTAAAGGACATGGGCAAATACAAATCTTTGTCAATGATCAAACAAACCATTTGATAATACAAAATGCTTTTTAAGGTTTAAACATAATCTGATATTTGTGTTGTTTTAAGAAGCCCTTTAAGAACTAAGAATAAGATTTGTGCGAATTGTGTCGATGATGACAAAATGGGTGGGTTTTGTTGTTTTGTTGTCCCTCATCATATATGTGTATATGTAAACCTTGTGAGCTGGATAACTAGGAAAAGAGGAAATGGGCCAACTTCCTCTTTGGTGTGTGGCTGCATCTAGGTATAAGAAAGGGTCCTATCAAAAAGTGGGTTGCCATGTCAAAATCCAAGATGGACGACGTCGTATATATGTTAACCTTGTGAGCTGGATAAATTGAAAAATGAGCAATGGGCCAACTTCCTTTTTGGTGTGTAGCTGCATCTAGGCATACAGAAGATTCATTTAGAAAATTGGGTGTAGTTTCCTCAAATGATTGGGTCAAAAGAAAGCAATGTGCCAACTTCTATTTTGGTGTGGCTGCATCTAGGTGTAAGAAAGGTCACTATCGAATCCAGCAACCCCGATCATTTGAGGAAACTATGCTTTTTAGTTTTTATATTGCTTAAAAGTATAGTTTCCTCAACCGATTTGGGGTAGTTGGTGGGGGGGGGGGGGATTAATCTGTGATGGGCAAGGCCATCACTGGCCGCCCCCAGCCTCTGCCATTGCACTTAGTGGTGGATAAAATTGCTCCTTGCACTCGCCAGGATTTGTCACTTGGCACCACCACGGACAATAAAACCTTCCTCTATTCTTCTACACAGTGCAAGTCCTACCACTTGAACATCTTTCACCATAAACATTAGGGTTTACTTGAATTCCCTGTTCAATTCCAGTCCAGAAAAACACTCCTCTCAAAAAATACATTCACTATTCAAATCCTTCAGCAATGAGGGACACCAGCGTATCGCTTGTTGAACAAGAATTGAAAACTTGACAAAACATGAGCAGAAATACAGGTGCATCTAAAATATTGTGAAAAAGTTCACATTTTTGCCAATCCTTTCAGAAAGTGAAACTCTTATATTACATAGAGTTATTATCTGTCAATAAAACTCATCAGTCCACCTTAGAAAATAGAAAATGGGCACATCTTGTCCTCTCCTTTCATCTTGTATGCATAGGCAACTGAACATCTTTACTGGAACTATAGCACTAACTTGCTTTAAGAATAAATACTGGCTTTGAATCTCCCGATCCAACAGAGCACACACCTTGATTTTAAAATCCATTATTATATTTTGATTTTTTTTTTTTTTGCAACTGTTGTAAATTAAACTGTTTCAAGGTGAATTACAGAAATGTAAAAGGGATTATCATCATTAAACATTGTTAGTGTCTTCCATAATCAGCGATAGAAGCAGCATCTGGAGCGATTGTGCAGACGAGGCTCATATTCAATATTCCACCCGTAACGTGGCGACACAGATTTGATTTCATTTCATCATTTCATTCCTCTCCAGGCCTCATTTACCTCCACAGTGCATCAGCGCTCGAAAGAGAGCAGACACTGTTCTCACTCCGTTAATTAAAGCGCCAACTCATTCAATGCATCTCACTTACACACCGTTGTGTGTGTCCTCTCGCTTCCAGCCCAGCGTTGATTGAGTGCATCAAACCACACAGTTTGCATGAAAACTGAATGTGCTCCGTCTCATAACGCACCATCACACAGCTGTTTGATCCAATTGGGTGCACGGCGTTCAAAAGGTTCATCGCTGCCATCTATTTGTCACCCAAATAAGGATTTTCATTCCTTTTTTATTTAAAGAAAACTCTTATTCAGAGGGAGAATTGGCTGATTAAAGGGACTGGAGATGAGAGTATTATCTAGGCCTGTGATCTGGGTCATCACTGTTTTACTGCACAGGTGTCCAAAGTGTGGCCTGAGGGCCATTTGTGGCCCTTGGAGTGATTATTTGCAGCCCAAAACTGCAGTTTAAGAATGGGATTATTTTGTCCAGCAGGCTTAAGAGGTCGATGCAGACTTGCTGCAAATTCATTGGTAATCCTTTTTTATATAATGTTTACGTTTAACAGCAATACAGAAAAGCAATATTCTCAAAATGAGCAATATCTTTTGCTATAATCTTTTTATTTTCACTTCATGTTACAAAAACCTTTACTGATTTCTACCAGAAAGGAGACTTTTGGATAATGATTCATAAAACTTGGCTAAATATTGCAGTTGGTAAAACAATCAAGAGGGAAATTGGACATATTTAAATGAATATAACATGGTATCATCTACATACGAGTTGATCAACTTGATCAAACCTTCTATGAATCTGTTGTAGCGACTGACAGCTGAATGATTTTTCAGAACTTCAATCAGCCTTTTGGACCATGGTTGCCCCAAAAGGCTGATCGACCCCCTTTTAAAAGGACATACTCATATTATGCTTTTCTTGCTGAGAACAGACTAAAAGGAACTTTCCAAGTACAAGAAAACAACAAACATAGACCCATCATCTCAAATAAATCAAATCCCTTTTAATAAACAATATAAGCTTAGTGTTTATGAGGCCTTTAATGTTTTGGATCTACAACAATTTAAAACTTTCTCCACCAAAATTAGTAAACTTGTTGCGTTAGAGTTCACATTTTTATGGCTCATGAGTCCTTTCATCTTGATACGTTTGGCCCACAGAAGAAAACATTTGGACACCCCTGTTTTACTGGGTTGCAATGCAGTCTACTGTTAGATATATTTCAATATACTGGAGCAAGCACATTATATTGTAAAATTATGTTACTTTAATATCCTGATGCATGCTCAATAATCCAGGTAGAAAAATCCAAGAAAGTTCAATCTGGTCCTCTGGACATTCAAAAAAACAAAACAAAGCAAAAAAAAAAAAAAATACTTTAAGTAAAATTACACTCTGGATTCCCTGTTATTTTAAGAGAATGTTGGATCTCAACTCACCCTGCTTTGATTCAGTTACTTTCTCTTGCAAAGATTGCATTCAGTGATTTTTTTTTTAATGTTTTAAACCAATTTCCAATTCATTCAACCTTTATTTAGACAGCTAAATCACATTGAGCCTCAAAGACTCATTTACAAGTGAGACTTGTTTAGACAGAGAAAAAGTAGTGAACGTGAACACATGTAGGATTTGGAGGCCAAAAAATCCTATCAAACTCTTTCTTCTTGGCTGAGAAGAAAGACCCTGATATTGGGGAAAAAACACACCCCACACATAGAAGCACATGGTGTCGTAGACATTCCGGGGGGGGGGGGGGGGGGGG